TCCCTGGTTAGGACTCCTATATTAAACCTCAGCCACCAACAGCTCAGGGACCATGTGGAAGAGGGGGCGGAAAGATTGCAAGAGTTGGTGTATGAACATAAGGAAACAGAGCCTCAGGCCGCTGGGAACTTGCTCATGAACTTACAATGCTGACAGCCTGCACAAGATCCATGCAAACTCAATTAAAAAAAAAACCCAGCACAGAATGAGGGAAATAGGCAGCAGGCCCCAACCATAGCTTACTGTGGGATTAAGAAGAGTAGATCTTCTTTAAAGGAGTGACTAGATAGGCTGACTAGACTCCAGTGGATGAACTTGCACCAAGGGACATCTGGATACAAATGCTTGACTAGATAGGACTTAACATATGTGACAGAATACCTGAAATCCAGTGGGGGGTGCTATGGGGAAGAATGGGTGGGGAAGAGGGTCTAAATTTACTAAGATCTATTATATGAAACACACAAAAACTCAATAAATTTTTTTTTAAAAAAGAAAAAGAGAGTACCGAGGATAATTGCTCATCTACTGGATGAATGACATCTCCATGCAGATAATATATCGTGTTATTCCATAGATTCTGAATACTTAACAAGTAACACGCTACATTTTCCCCTGATTTCTCCTCCTTTTTATTCATGTCAGCATTTGCTAGGATTTGAAGGTGTGTGCCCCTCTAGAATTCACATTGAAACATAGTCCCCAATTTAACGGTGTAAGAGGTGAGGCCTTCAACAGATGGTGGTCTTGGTGCTACTTTCCTTGTGGATGGGGTTAGGGAGTGGTCACACCCCTTTCTGCCATATGAGAACACGGCACTCTTTCACGTGCTGCTCTCCCTATCGAAAGCAGAAACTACACCCTTGATCCCAGAATTCCCATTCTTTAGAACTTCGAGTAATAAATTTCTATTACTTGTAAATTTTCCAGTCTATAGTATTTCATTATAGCAACCCAAATGGATTAAGACAGTAATTTATCTCCCACAATTCAGGTTTTTGTAATGACCTGAACGGCCCATACCATTTTATTTTATTCCTCAGTCTCTAGTCATTTCCAACCCATGAATTTCACCCATGTATTTGTCAGAGTGATCTTTCTAAGTATAGACACTGACACGACTTCCACAGAAAGACTCTACAACCGTCATTGCCCATAATCTCCAGTACTCAGACTGGAATTCATTGTGTTACCCCCCACCCCCGCCAGGTACACCCACAACCACATGCCTCCACCATCTTTTGCTTCTACGTTTACAGTAAAAATGAACATGAATCCAGATATATTTCTGCCCGGGCTAAACTCTGCACTAGCTGTGTGACCACAGAAGAGTAAAGTAACCTTTATGAATGTCTGTGTGCTCAGTGAACTTCCTTGTGTTTACATAGCGATGATACAACACACACGAAAGCACTAGAGGAATGAGTTATGTTTGTCCTTCAGCATGTTGGACAGATTGATCTACTCTACAGTCAGGGTAAATATGAATTGACCTTCGCTTGTTACCTTCCATCTTTATCAACATCCTTCATTCAAATTTCTTCCACTTTTTCCTTTTAAAAATGTATGCTAAGGGATTGGCGCAATAGCTCAGCAGTTAAAAGCACATCCTGCTTTTGCAGATGACCTAAGTTCAGTTCCCAGCACCCACAATGAGAGGCTTACAACTGCCTATAACTCCAGCTCTAGGAGATCCAATGCTCTTGACCACCATGGGCACCTGCACTCACATGCACATACCCTCCACATGCACATAATGTATGGTGGGGTTGAGGAGAAGGTCAGCTGGTAAAGCACTTGCCTAGCAAGAATGAGGACCTGAGCTTGATCTCCAGAACCCAGTGAAAATGCTGGGTGTGGGGGTGCACACTTGTAATCCCAGAGCTGGAGAAGTGGAGACAGGAGACATCCCTGGGGCTTGATGTCCAGCCAGCCTAGCCTAAGTGGTAAGCTTCAGGCCATTGAGAGACCCTGTCTCAAAGGAGGTGGAAGGCATCCCTGAAGATACAATCAAGGTTGTCCTCTGGCCTCTACATGCTTGCACACATGCATGTGAACCTCTACATACACATACACAAAATTATGACTTGGCAAACAGAAAGTGCTATTGCTTAACAGATTATATGCCTGACAAGGGCAGTTTTAAATTTCTTCTGCTTATTTGTTAATTTTCATATTGCTTGATTAATTCACTCATTCTACTTTGTCTTACATAAAATACAACCTTGGCTTTCTCTCTTAGGAGAAAGAAAAGTCCACATGGTGTGGATGCTGACCAGGCTTCCACACTAGTGCCCATTGAGATGTGTGTCACATACCATCTTTCTGTCTGACTGACCTCAGGCACATCTACCCATCTCAGCTCAATGTTCACAGTCCCAACCAACTTCTGAAACTAATGGAGCAGAGCATTGCCCTCCTTCAGAGATCTCTGCTTTGGTCCCCGTGTGCACCCCTCCTTCAGGGCCTGTCAGTTAGGATCCCAGTCACACTGCTTTTTTGTTTTGTTGTTGCTAATTCTGCTGGATGGCTTCATTTGTCAACTTGAAACCCCTAGGAAGAAAGAACTCAGTTTGGGCATCTCCTCTATCAGACTGGCCTGTGGGCATGTCTGTGAGACATTTTCTTGATTACTGAGTGATATGAGAGGGCTCAGCTCACTGTGGATGGTGCCACCCCGGGCAGGTGGTCCTGAGTTGTATAAGAAATCAGGTTGAGGGATGGAGGGATGATTTAGTAGTTAAGAGCACTGGCTGCTCTTGTAGAAGACCTGGGTTTGATTACCAGCCCCACATGGTGACTAACAACCACCCATAACTCCATTCCAGGGAACTCCAACACCCTCTTCTGATTTCCACAGGCACTCCCTGACACAGGTGCACTTACACACATGCAGGCAATACACTCATACACATAAACTAAAAGCTTTTTTGAAAGAAAGCAGGCTGAGCATGGGCCAGTGGAGCAAGGCAGTAAGCAGCGTTCCTCTGTGAGCTGTGCTTCAGTTCCTGCCTCCAGGATCCTGCCTTGAACTCCCACCTTTACTTCCCTTGGTGATGGACTGTGAGCTGTAAGTCAAATAACCCCTTTCCTCCCCAAGTCACCTTTGGTCAAAGTGTTTTATCACAGCAATAGAAAACTAACTAGAACATTAATTTTTTATTGCTCAATTTTGTTCTTTGGCAATTTTATACATGTACATAATACATTATGATTACCCTATCCTCCATAACCTCTCGTTTCCCTCCCATCCCTATCACTATCCCCCATCCCTACCTACCTCTTCCCAGCTTCACTACTTTTGGTTTGGTTTTGTGACCCATTAAATTTAACCCGGGCTATCTGTGTGACCATTGAGTTGGAACTATCCACTAGAACCTGGTGGAATCATCAATGGATACCCAACGGAATGTAATGCCCTCTCCCTTCCACCAAATCTGTTTATATCTATCAGTAGCATAGTACAGCAGTGAGGGGTAGAGGCCCCTGAACTTTTCCTCCATCTATGCCTAACTGTGGATGGGCACATTCTTATGCAGACCCAGTATGGTCTAACTATTGTATCTTGCCCCAAAGATGGCAATTCTGCCTCTTTTCCTGCTCTTACATTCTTTCCACCTCCACTTCAGAATGTTCCTTGAGCCTTAAAGGGGATGACGTCCAGGTCTTGTTTAGGACTGGGTATCCACCCATCACTTATTCTTATGCAGTCTCGAGTCTCTGCATTCATCAGTATTCATTGACTAGAGACTTCTGAGTAATGTAGAAAGTACCATTTGCCTATGGGCACAAATATATTTAGAAGACAATTTGACAGCTATGTCAATTTAGCTAAACAACATTATTCAGTTTGCTTCCAGGAACTATGATCTTCCCCAGCAGGTGATACTGACCAGGTTTATAGTACTAGTCATGAATTCCCTCCTGTAAAGTGGATCTCAAACCCAAGCAGTGAGCAGTTGGTTACCCCCAAAACAGTAGTGCCATTATTGCATCTGACAGGTTGGTCTGGTCACAGGGTTCATAGTTGAATAAGACTGTTGGTGCCTTCTCTCCCCTAGCAGCCTGAATAGCACTTTCTATGAACGCTAGCTGACAGGGAGGAATCTTCAGCTCAGCTGTACTTTGACTTCTCCATATTGTGTAACTAAAGTATGTGGTGTCTTCAGCAATAGATTCTTATCAGCTAATTTGGTGAGCAACCAAGAGGAATGGCAAGACCTGAGTTGTTTTGGAGTCCTCTAGGGCCTCCCTATCTATTATATATATTTTTTATTTGGCCATATAACCTTTAAACCTCTAGACAGGTGGCTCTAAGTCAAAATTGCCAACAATGGCAGCAGACAGTCAGTGGTTGAAAAAACAACAATGCATAAAGATGTAAATTAAGGAGCTGGATGTGGTGGCACATGCCTTTAATCCTAGCACTCTGATACAGAGGTAGGCAGATCCCTGTGTCAAGGCCAGCCTGGTCTACACAGTGAATTCCAGGCCAGCTGGGGCTACAGGGAGACCCTGTCTCAAAAAGACGAAACACTCAAAACTTTAAAGAGTTGCTTTCTCCCTGCAATTTATATTTTTGTGTCTTAATTTACTTTTTTTTTTTTTTTTTTTGTCTTTTTGAGACAGGGTCTCCCTGTAGCCCCAGCTGGCCTGGAACTCACTATGGAGACCAGGCTGGCTGCAATCTCATAGAGATCCATCTGCCTCTCCCTCTTGAGTGCTGGAATTAAAGGTGTGCACCACTATGCTCGCCCTATTTTAAAGTATTTTTAAGCAATAACATTTGAATTTCTGTCAGATTAAAGTAGAACAAATATGATCCTTTATGTTAACTCCATGATAACTACAAAAAAGGAAACTACAGCAAAAACACACATCAAAATACTAATGACATTCTTCACAGAACTAGAAAAACAGCCTTAAAGTTCAAACTGAGTCACAAACGAGCCTGAATAGCCACAGCAAATCTGAGCACAAAGAACAGGGTTGGAGGCACCATGATTCCTGATTTTAAGACTCATTACAGACTCCTAGTAACCAAACCAGCACAGCACTGTCAGCAGCAGCAGAGAGACTCAGCCCAGCACTGCGGCTCCCAGGGACCTCTGCGAAGGGAAGGCTGGCTCCTTGACTGGACCTAAGAGAAGGATTTGAAGACAGTCAGAGTGACTAAGCACAAACCAGTTTATAAAGTACAGACAAAGGAGGGTAATGCCTTAGCTTTAACCATAGGTAGAAAGGACACATAAGAAAACATCGGAACACGCCCCCAAACAAGGGTGCAGGCTTCTCAAGAAAGTCACAGTTAGGTGCCCTTTCGATGGTCATGTGTATGATTCTGTGGTTAAGTTACTTTACCCAAAGGGTAGAATTGGCAAGGTTTAAGATTAAGCAACGATTTAAAAATCAGTAATTTAAACATTAGTTTTTAAAAAAAATCTGATTTACTTATTTCTCTTTTATTTGTGTGTGTCTCTGTCTGTCTGTCTGTCTGTCTGCCTGTCTGCCTGTCTCCACATAGAGGCCAGACGACAGAACCTTGGATGTTGTCACTTAGATGTCAACCACCTTTTGCTTTTTTAGACAGAGTCTATCACTGGCTTGGAACTCATCAAGTAAGCTAAGCTGGTTGGCTTGCCAGCGAGCCTCCCGTCTCTACCTCTCTAGCACTGAGAATACAAGTAGCTAGCTTTTTTTTTTTTGTCTTTTTGAGACAGGGTCTCCCTGTAGCCCCAGCTGTCCTGGAACTTGGTATGTAGACCAGGCTGGCCTGGAACTCAGAGATCCACCTGCCTCTGCCTCCCTGCTGGGACTAAAGATGTGTGCCACCATGCCTGGCCATAGCTAGCTTTTTTGTGTGAGTTCTGAGGACCAAATACAGGTCCTCATGATTGTGCTGCAAGCACTTTACCAATTGAGCATTTCCCCAGCCCCAATTTTGAAAGTTTTGAAATCAAAACTTAAAATTTCAGATCTGGATTTTAAGACATTTAGGATAAAAATGTTTATACTGGTTTGCTAAGGCTGTCATTAAAAGTACCACAAACTGGGTGAGTTAAACAATAGACATTTATTTTCTCACAGTTCCGAGGACAAAGTCCAAGGTCAGAATGTCAGTAGAGCTGGCTCTTCCCAGGTCTCTCTCCTCGGCTTGTGAATGACCACAATCTTCCTGGATCACACACAATGTCCTGTGTGCTATAATTATTTGCAAAATAGTTATGTCTTAATCGCTTCTCACAAGAAGAGTAGTCATACAGATTAAAATCCCACCCTGAAGATCTAGTTTTACCTCAGTTACCTCTTTAAAGACCTCATCTCCAAATGCACTCACATTTGAGTGCACTGGGTGTTTGGACTTCAGTATATAGATATATATACTTCAGTGTATAAAATTTGATGAGACTGCTTTCATTGCATTGGACAAGGAAAGATACTGGCTAAATTAGGGCAGCAGAGGCAAATAAACATGGCTGAACATAAATATTCATCCCTCTGCTTCCTGACTATGGATGTGATGTGACCAGCTGCCTCAAGCTCCTGCCGCCATATCTTTGCAACAGGATGGAATATACCCCTGAACTACAAGCCACAATAAACCTTTCCTTCCTTGAGTTACTTGTGCATCACAGCAACAGGAAAAGTAGCCTAACACAGCAGGGGTGGTGACAGGGGCTCTAGAGGAAAATTTGGAATGTTGCTGAATTGACCTGCACGTGTGGGGTAGGCAGTGAGGAATAAGAACTTTTCCCAATGCACTTTAGAATTGTTATTTATGTACATAGACTGAGAACTGCTATTCTGTTTCCCAGGCTGTCTCTTCATGGATGGACATTCACCAACATTTGGTAGATGGTGAACAGTCATCATCATTTGGAGAATGAAAGTCTTAAGAGTTGAAAGATGTATAGAATCAATATTCCAGCTCAATACTTCCATTTCAGAGGTGATCAGAGGCTCAGAGTGGTAAGGTTACTTAGCCATACCTGACTGATACCTCTAAATTTCCTCTGTATTCTTCTCATTTCTATGGGGCTAGAGACATGTTGACCCAAATGTATGATCCCCGGGAAACATAGAACATCCAGTACCATGGGTCTGAACACCACCCCCTTTCTCTTGCCAAGGATCTTGCCAAGAAAAGGATGATGAGGGTGGGCTAAGACTATAGTGCCCGGTATGTTATGAAGGGACATCATCTCCCCACAAGGACCCTGAAAACAACACACAAGTGTTGTCTGTGTTCCTTGTATTCTAGACATACAACAAAACCAAGGCAGATAATGGAGCCAAGGTTTGCATATGCTAACCCAGGAAGCCCCTGCCTGTGTGCTGCCCAGCAGGGAGAAGATACATGCAATCTGTCCTCCCCTCTGCCACTGGATTCACTGTTGAGGTTACCTGTCCTGTGCATCACCACTGGATTCCCCTGTCTGTGCTTTAGGCTGTAAACTCTAGTCTACTCTCTAGATGTCCCAAAGACATTCTTTAGTATGAGATTTTCAAAGAATCAATAAAGGTATTTTTAAGTTCATCTTTGTAATATTACAGTGAGGGGAGGGAGAACTGATATAAAATTTGTTAAGAACCAGCTAGAAGCTGATCGGTCCATCTCACCTCTCTAGGATGATACAAAAGAATCTGTGGTCAAGGTACAATTTACATTCACCTGGAAAACTTCAACATTCAGGGACCTAGTAGCATCTGAAAGAGGCTCCCGAGCACAGAAGCCAGATCCCGTAAAGCTCTCTCACACAGGAACTGTTATTATCAACATATAATGGAAACTGGTATTGATCATATTAGCTAACCTGGAAAGCTGCTGGAAGATGGACGGCTAAAGAGATCTCTGACAGCTGGCAGGAACTCTCTTTTCCTTCATTTCTGGGGATCCAACCCAGTGCCAAGTAGTTACTTAGCAAGGGTTCTGCCACAGAACTCTGGCCCCTTGTAATGAACATTAATGAACCCTGTGAAAACCCAACAGTGACTGAAAGTTAGTGTGAGGTGTCATAGATGACCATTTCACTGACTCATTACAATGACTGCTCACATTCTGAGGTCACAAGTCTCAAATGGATACATACCCTCCTTTGTCCGTTTAGACTCTGGAAAGCTTGAGTTTCAATTTGGATATGCCGATACAGCAAAAATAGTGATCCCCACACTGCTCCTTCTTCTTCTCACCATCCCTGCATGAGGGTCTGCATTTGCCCATCCCATAAGCACATTTTGAACCATCCATCAAAATGAACAGAGATGAATGCATAACTATATGGAAAAGCAGATACACCTGCACATACCTGCAAGTGTTGGTGATGGCAGCAGTAACTGTTAGTAACGGTTAATAACAGTTAGAATGAGTGTTCAACACTCATTCCACAACCTGCTAGTAGTTGTGGAAATGCTATTAATCTACTGACTGCTAATCTTGACTTGCAGTAGATACAAGTCAGTCTCTCTTTCCTCTGGCCACTCTTGATTTCATTGCTATCTTATGATCGTTCTGTCTTTATCACTTTTGGCAGATTAACTCTAGTTCCTTCTCTCTAATTCAGATGTCAAACCAAGGAATGGGCCTAAGAAATTACCCATTTCTCCATTTATTATTTGTTCAAAAGCAACTTGTTGAATTTCGATTATGTGCCTGGCTCTGTTTAAGGTACTTGCCAAAGGGTGTGTCTAAAGTAGGACCCCACATCAGATGATCAGTTTGTAGTACTTACCTGCCAGATCAGTACTGGATGGTATAAGCCTCTGCCTTTCTCTGGTTCCTCGTCTGTGCCTTAGCCCTACCTCAATCAATAAAAACAAACAAACAAACAAACAAAAACCCACGCAGACCCAGCTTTCTGAGCTCATTAGGATCAGCAAGAGGTGTTGTTGCCTTGCTTTAAATTGCAAACTCTCTACTTGTGTTTTCCCTGAATCCTCTCTTTGGGATATAATTCCCAATTCTCTCACCAGGACTTTGAAACTAGAAAAAAAGCCAGACTCCTATTGACTCTTACTTTTCCACACCAATATTCCATGAACCAATGTGTCAGTTGTTTCTCAAAAATGTCTCTCACAACTGGAACTCTTTCCTCTATTCCAATTGTCCTCAAGAGAATTTACGTCAGTTTGAAATCACCTCAACACTAACCCAGAATAACAACCTCCTCCTCCTCCTCCTTTTTTTCCTAGAACAGTCGAATAATTGGAAAACACTTTCATCTTGCAAAGTTGATCCAACAGCAATGACCCAACAAGAAATTATGCAACTAAAAATCATAAGCTCAGGCTGCAGAGACAGCTCAGTGGGTAAAATTCTTATTGCCCAGGATATAAGTTTAGACATCTAACACCCACATAAAAGCTAGGCCTACTGGCACACATTGGTAACTCCAGCACTGGGGTAGTAGAGACAGGTGGATCCTGGAACTTACTGGTCAGCCAGTCTAGCCAATTGGTCAGATCCAGGTTCAGTGAGAGATGCTCTCTCAAAAAATAAGGTAGAGAGCAATTGAAGACATTTGATGTTGAACCTCTGGTCTCCACACACATGCGCAATCTGAAATCCAGAATCTTCTGCCATAATAATAGCTCTATACCTTGAGCCAATGTTACAAACCTGTAGATAATCCAACATCAACCTACAAATTTCCACCACGTATTCTAAAAGAAAGATGCCCCCTCTGCTTGCTTCAAGAGAGGAGTGAAGAGACTAGCTATTGTAAGTGTGGTGTGGATGGAGGTGGGATTGAAGTAGGAGACGTGAGGGATGAGACTGTAAAGGGCCAGAGTCATTGATGCTAGTGTGATGCTCTTCTTTCCCACATAATGAGACTTCATAGAAGGCACTTATTCTCTGTTTGCATTCTCCAGTCTCCCTAATACAAAGCATCATCATGGCCAGAGGCAGCTTGCAGGAAAGCACATTCTATCCTCCTCCTGTCTCTTTACCTCCCTCCCTCTCTCCCTCCCCTTCATCCCTCCCTCCTCTTTTTCCTCCCTCCCTCAATTCCCTTCTCATTTCCCTGCTCCCTTCCTAAGCCCTTCTGTCTACCCCCTCTACCCTCCTTTCCCTCCCCTCCTTTCTCCCAGTTCAGGAGTTTGAACTGAGTCACATGCATGTTCTGCCAGTACTCTACCACCGAACTATTCCCCCAGTCCCCACAGCACATGCATTGTAAGGCTCCCCACCAGGTCTCGGCCAGCCCTGTGAGCTGTTCTCCTACACGTGTGCTTTCCCTTCTCTCTGCAGTTCTGGTTATCTGGGGAAGTCCGAGCCAGTACTACAAAGACAGCTAAAGTCAGGAATAGGAATTTAATGTGTCCTGAGAGGGCTGAGGAACGATTAGTCAGCATGCTGAACGTGCTGGGCTGAACGTGCTGGGGAAAGTTGGTCGGCACTTAGAGTTTTAATGATGCAGGCAGGGCCTGGTCACGGGCTATAAATCAGAGAAAGGTAGAGGGCTGCACCTCCCTGAACTGCCCCCTGCAGATCAGCACAGTTGAATCATCCAGCCTTTAGGGTGAGATCTAGTCACTCTCTGGGAAGGAGACGGCATCAGTGGAGGAGGCAGAAGTCCTTCACAAGACTGCTGCTTTGTGGACAGAGGAGAGCTAGTCCTAAGACGTGTTTTCTGCCCATCTCTGTAGAGGGTTCATGCTCTCCCTCCATTCTCACAGCCTGGCTCTGCCCCATGCACTGGAGCCAAGCATTTCCTAGTTCATTTTTTCTATCACACCCTCAAGAATGACTCTGGGGGCTGGAGAGATGGCTCAGCCGTTAAGATCACTAACTTGCAGAAGACCCAGGTTCGGTTCCCAGCATCCACATGGTAGCTAACAACCATCCATAACCCCAGTTCCAGGGGATCTGACACCTTCTTCTGACCTCCATGTGCATTGCACGACACTGGTACACTTATATACATGCAGGTAATACCTTCATACACATAAAATCAAAATGATAAATAAAATATTTAAAAAAATGATGACTCTGAACAGGCCATGAGACCCCTGCAGGTCCGGACAGGTATGCCGGACCTCTCTGTATGCCCAGAGCTCGCAGTGCACATGTGCTGAAAAGCATTGAACAGGATCAGGCAGCATTCTGACAGGCAGAACTAACTGGACTCAGTGAGTTACCAGAAACAAAAAGAGGAGAACACGAAGTGGGACATGTTGGGGGTACCTAGAGGAATGTTGTGGGGAGCTAGGGATGGGTATGATCATTGTTTACATGTATGGAATTGTCAAAGAATAAATAAGAGATATTCTATTAAAAACCTTTAATAGAAGAACATGTGTGGCTGGAGATCTGCCTGGACAAGAGGATACTACCCCAGCAGGCACCAGGCCATGCATTCCATCCCCAGCACTGCACAAAACTGGCTGAGGTGGAGGCAGGAGGATCAGAAGTGCAAGGTCATCTTCAACTATGCAGTTCAGAGCCAGCCTGGGCTACATAGATCCTGTCTCAAAAAACAAGGTGTGAGGGGGTTGAGGGGGGGCTGGAGAGATGACTCAGCGGTTAAGAGCATTGGCTGCTCTTGCAGAGGGCCTGGGTTCAATTCCCAGCACCCACATGGCAACTAAAAATAGTCTGTAACTCCATTCCAGGGGATCCAATGCCCTCTTCTGACCACTGCAGGCATTGCATGACACAGGTGCACTTACCTACATGCAGGCAAAACACTCATACACACAAAATAAAAATAATAAAATTTTTTTTCAGTCTTTTTGAGACAGGGTCTCCCCGTAGCCCCAGCGGTCCTGGAACTCACTACGTAGACCAGGCTGGCCTTGAACTCACAGAGATCCGCCTACCTCTGCCTCCCAAATGCTGGGATTAAAGGCGTGTACCACCATGCCTGGCAAATAAAATATTTTTAAAGAGAGAAGAGGACAAGGTGGAGGACAAGGAGGATGAGGAGGAATTAGAACACAGCATTTCTCATATCCTCTTGGAGCTTAGAACTGCAAGGCCCAGAGAAAGGAAGAGAATTCTGTAGGGTCACGCAGTGAGCAGGAAAGAAACAATCTGGATGAAAGGTCACATAACCCAGCTTAGTTCAATTCTGTATGTGAGTGCAGTGTATATGGGGTGTGTGTGTGTGTGATGTGTAATGTGTGTGTAGTACGTGGGGTATGGTGTCACGCCATCTCCAATGAAGCCCGCGTGAGATCCTCCGTGGGTTGAGGCTGGAACTTCAAGGAAGGTTGCCTCTTGGAATTGGTTGTGATAAGAAACATGCAGTGTACCTGGCACGCTCTTACTTGCTATTAATTTTCTAACTGTCACTGTATCTTGGGCTTTCTGGGGGC